AGGTGCTCAGGTGGTTTCTGAGACATATACAACATAACTATTTGAGTGTGTGTCTGTAATCGTTTAGTCACAACATGTAGAATTTATAGAAAAGGGTTTGTGATTAGTCCCAACTAGAATTTATCAAATTTTTGTAATGAACATACCATTAAGAATTTTTTTCCAACAGGGATAGATTTACATTCTAGGCTATGCAGTACAAAAAGTAATTTTGAATTAGGAACTCCAACTGAAATACTGAAGAAAAACTAATCTGGGCTACTTCAGGAAAAGCTGAATTTCATTTTAGAGCTAATCCACTGTAAGAACTAAAACCTGAAACTGTCCTAGAAGCACTAAAACATGCAAATACAAAGTGACCAGTAGGAAGAAGCTGTTATATGTTGAAGATTGTCAGGAAAAATGTTTAGAAGCAAATGAAAACATATACATATGAATGTGTATCAGCAATTAGGCTGGAAATACTTTAGCAGTTGGCTTAGATGTGTTCGTTTCAGGAATAGCTATCAGCTGTTACAAATTCTGTTCACAGTTTTTCTTTGGCATTTGTGATTTAGATCCATCTCATTTGTACCTCTCTTCTGAATGCAGTTCTGAAAACTCGAACACTCTTTTATCATGTTGTTATTACAAGGCTATTGCTCCAGAGTCCTTTAGAATACAAAGAAATGTTGCTTAATGGAATTCTTACAGTAATGTCAAATTTGTACAAATCTCTGAAGATTTGCTGTTATGAATTCTTGTGCAATGTAATGAACAACAGCTTTAAAATGGTTTTAGACAATGAGAGCGAGTTTTTATTTGGTTTAAAGTGGAAGCACAACAAGTTTAATACAAGACTGTAAAAAATGTGAGGTAAAAATTTAGCCCAACTGCATAAAAGTTTCAAAATATATTGTTGGGGTGTGTTTATAGATAGACTACCAGAGCTGTTGGTGTTACTGATGGGTAAACAAAGGAGTCAGTAGTGTGTGTCTGTTCAAGGGATTGCAGTGAAGACAAGACAGCTGTAGTACTGTGGTCTGTCATAGTTTGTGGCAAAATCTGTATTGGTGTGCTTATGTTGTGATTTGGTGAAGCCTCTTGGTTTTTAAACATGCCATCATGTGTCACTGTGAATTTAGTTAGAACAAATGGAAAAGTTTAGAGTAAACTTGAAATTTTTCAGTAAGCCAATCAAAGGACTGGGATTCCTGGTTACTGGTCTTCAATAAACTTGAGGATGATGCTGTTCCAGGATTTTTAAGTTGCTTATTTCCATTATGAGGTGAAACAATGACTCCTGCTCTTCTGGAAGCCAACTATGGACATTTCTAACAAACACTAATACCTGCTTGGCTGGAGTTATAAAACTATAGGGAAAGGATATTGAGCCTTCGAAGGGCTGAAGTGTGTTATTTATTCTCTGTCGTTTTCTGCTAATTTTTGTTGCCAGGGAATCTAAAATTTGCACACTTCCTCCCCTCTCTCTCCTCCTACCCCCCCCAAAAAAAAAAATTAAGCTATTGTTTCTGTTCACATCTGTTTACCGAAGGGGAGGGGAGGGAGTGTTTGATAGGTAAGGAGAGATGTGATTCAATAATATCTGGGATCGTGTCTTCCACTTGGGTAATCCTTCTAATTAATTTATGACTTGCTGTGGGTTTTTTTGTGTCTAATCTCTGCAGTGATTAATCAGAATTTTGGAGCTGGCAGCCCATAGCAGCATTACAAAAGACAAAGCCAAACCTAAAGATTGTAGTCAATTAAGGTATTCTACCTGCTGAGAGTCATTTGTACAGGGAAGTATTTCTCATTTCTGGGAAGTGTTGGAATGTACTTGAAATTGTCATAACTGAATATAAAGTCTGATTTTCATGACGCCAGTGAGCATTCTGTGGAAGATCCTGTTCCCTGTGACAGTGGTGGTCAGTGCTAGACTTTAGCCTGGTTTGCATTTGGACTGGATAAAAATGAATGCTGAGCCCTGTATCTGCTAAGGCACTCTGCACTGGTACTTTTTTACAGTAACTACAATGTTGGTGCATAGTGATCTTTCACAGATCTCAGCTAAACTGGGGAAAAAAGTGGAAGACTGGAGAGAATATAGAAAGCTCTCAATAGGGGTTGTCTTTGCTCCTGTTTCTGGCTGAGCTTTTGTTTTGTCTTTTATACTGGTTTTCTGTATGTGACAGCACAAAATTTCTCTGCTCTAATGTAGACTTTGATGTGCATTTTGCCCCTCCACCTGTATGGTTGTGCAGTAGGGCAGGTCTCTGCAGAAATCTTTCCAGTGGGAGAGGTGGCTTCATCACTGAAGCATTGTGGCTCCTGTGGGGTGGGTAGGGGGTGGTAGGTTGTGGGAAGTGTATGTGAATTTATTTTACCATCTAGTCAGAGGTGCTAAATGACTGAAGAAAAGAAGCGAGAGCCTTGAGTGCTTCAGAGAGGAGCTGAGAAAATCTGGCTTTCTACTTTGTACTATAAGTCCTGCTGACTATTGAGCAAGGTAGCAAGAACAAGACCAGCAAGGAGGTACACGTCTGGGAAACGTGACAGCTTGTCATTAGGTGTGATGGAGTCAAAAGTGTCTGGAAGGTGACCTAGTTTAATAACTGAGAAGGGATAGAGGATTGTGGGAAGCTCCTGTTTTTCTTCTCTCAAAGTAGAGAAAAAATCCTCAGCCTTGAAAGGATGATGAGATACTTTTGTTCCTCAAAAGAGTGCTAGTGTACATAAGACGGGATGTTGGAGGGATCACAGTTGGAATGGAATCAATAATGGATTATTATTATTATTAACAATAACAAGAGAATTAAATTAGCAGCAGTGAGCTGTAGACCACACAATTACAGGAGACAACTAACAAAAGAAAAAAAAAGTTGTTGAAAAACAGCTTGTGAAAAGACAGAGTTTTTCTTATTGGTGTGTTGGAAAATGAGACCAACTCTTACTTAAACTGCATTAAATGAAATTAATAAAATCCAGCATATTTGTGAGCATACTTTTAAGAAATACTTAGTTCACAAAAAACAGTTCTTCAGTTCAAACAATGCAGCAAATTGTAAATGGTTCTTTGGAGATATTGCTCTAAACAGCATATATTACCATAAATTGGTGTTGGCCATAAATTAGTTGATTTTACAGTTGGGATTCTTCTGATACGAGATGAATTGGTTGAAACTGTAAAAGAGAACAAAAATGCAAAGTGCTAAATCTGCTCGTCCTGTTTCTGGAATATTAGAGTACTTCAGTGTGTGAGGAACAGATGAGGGGAAAAGGAGATGCCTATAGGAGAAACAGAGTATGTGAAAGTTGGAGGTAAGTGAACTATAAAATACAGGGTATAGAAAGGCAGGAGAACGTAGTCATTTTTTTCTTTAAAACTATATGTAAAATTAGCCAGGGAGAGAAGGCAAATGATAATTGCTTTGAAATCTCCAACAGTGGTAGGAAGTGTCCACAAAAGGAGCATTGCAAAAGGGAACTTATAATGAGATATTTTTGTGGCACTTTAGAGGAGTGCTTTCACAGATAAATAACGTTTAAAAAAATCTGTGATTTACTGATTGAGAACACCATAAATGTTTTCAAGTTGTCATTCGTGTCTCAGCCCAGTACTGTTTGGAGCATAAAGGAACAGAAAGTGAAAAAGGAGTGCACCAGATTGAAATATTGACATGGATCAGAGCTCTCGCCACCGGGTACTGTGGGCAGCTATGGCACACGCCTTTGTTGTGGAGAACCTCCTAAAGATGCTGAGCTGTGTTCCACACCACTTCTGCTGTTCATCACTGCAAGGGTTAGAAATGTTCTTCAGTCTCCAGCCTAATTTATTCTTTCCTGAATTTGTCTTGTGCTTTTGTAGTCAAACATTTAAACAGCTGAAAGTCCAGGCCTGTGCACACTTCTTGCCCTCCTACTGTCTCTCAGGAAGCAAAATGAACAGGATCCTCCAAACTCCAGCTCTTCAAACCATATTTTTTGTGTCCTAGTTTCTTTGCTCTGTGGTGTGATGTAAGCTGGGTGGGGTTTTTTCTTTTTTTTTTTCTTTTTTTTAGATATCATTTTATTTATAACGCTGATTATATTTATATTACACTGATTATTATTACACTGATTATACATACAGTTTAGGGAGAATAGAGATTGTAATTGGAAGCTGCAGTCTCGTGAATAGCTGGCTGCTACCATGAAGTGAAGGAATGTCCAGTGTTACAGCCCCTGGTTTGGGGGGCAGTGGGGAAGCCCTGGAGTGCTGATCCACACCAGCATCTGCCCCGGCTGACTGCAGGCAGATCTTTCACGTGATTCTTAGTGACAAAAATCTCTGGTTAGATATCAGGAGAAACCAGCAGAAACTATTTAGTTTTGAACATGGATGTGTGAAACTGCACAGCCTGTTGGGTTAGAGGAGTGGATCTCTGGTGCCCTGAGGAATAGCAGTGGCAGAGCCCATGTCATAATAGCCCTCAGACTGCTTTGTGTTCACATCAGAGGGGTTACCAGGGTAAAAGGTGAATGTTTTGTTTATTCATTTCTTGTATTTTTGAATATAATGCTGGGCAAACTATTCTTCTGCTATTTCCACATCCTTCCAACGTCTGGTGAGCTGGGAGGCATGGCAAAAATCTTTAACAAAACTGTACTGTGTAGAGTGAGTGGAAAAAAAAAAAACCTTTTGAAAAACATCCTTTTTCAGGAGGAAACCGTGAAATCTAAGTATCAAGCATGGACTGGATTAAAGCATGTTGATTTTTGTAGCTGTGGCAACTTTCTGTGTAATCTCTTATTTTGAGAAATGGAGTCAAGGATAAGATTATTAAAACATTCCTCATATCTGATTCTATTTTTCTGATAGTAGTGTTCCTTGTTTGTGTCCTTATTGAATATAATAGTAAAGCTAGACTCAAATCTTCCTTTCTGTTGTTTTCCAAAGGATTCATCCCCCTGAATTCTACAAAAAAAAATATGCTGTGGATGAAGTCCACTATGTGAACGAGGTGAGTTGTCTGTGTCTCTGAATGTTCTTCTGTGAATGCAGAATCCACATGTGGCAGTGATCTTGCTTAATTTTATTCTTCAGTTATTGTGTGTCTTCTAACTCAGTGGGACCTTCTGCCCTCCGCCCCCAGTTATTGGAAAGTGTCCTTCGTTGTTGTAAAGCACTTGTGATTTACTATTGTTTCTTTTTAAAAAAGGCTGCCCTTTTCATTTAAACACTAAGGTCTTAAGCCCAAGACAGTCTCATAAACATGTTCTGTGTGTCATGAGACCTGTCAATCTGTGTCTTTGTCCAACAGAAACATGTTGCTAAATACATTTTTTGCATTGCCTTGGAGATTTGAAGGAACTGCTGTCAGGAAGGTTGTGTATCCTGGCTCTGACTTGGGAGCATACATTTATGCCTCCAAAGAGCTGTGAGGAAAGGCTGCCTGCCTTAACTCTTAGTTTATGTTGAAACATTCTAGTACTCAAATAAGCAAATATATTCATATTTTTAAATGCGAGTGTGACTTGCTTAGGTTTCTCATTTAATTTCTGAGCAGATATTTGTATACTTATGCACCTGGCCAGTTATCTTTTCTTCGGTAGGAAGGCTCAGCAGGGTGAGGGCAGTATACCTGCCAAGCTCTGTGGGTGATTTTCATGGAGAGCAGCTTGAAAAGGAAGGCTCTGGTATTTCTGTCCCTGCAGAGCACTATCTCTGACTCAGCAGACCAAAAACTTTGCTCTCATCAGCTGTGAGGATGTTTCCTTTCATTTTCATGATGAGTCCAGCTATGAAGTGAAGTTTGATCCTGTATTTCAGTAGCTGAGGGTGAAGGAAGCTGTGGTGATGTAGCTTTTTGACTTATGTGAGCTGGAGTCATGTAGAGTGCAGGCACTCCAGTGCTCATCTGTCAGATGATGGAAATTGCAAGTGGGAAGTTTGTGGGTTTTTTTAAAAAGCATATTTATTTTTGGTCACCTGAGTTGTTTGGGTCATTTTCCATCAACAAATGCCTTTATTGCTGTTTTGTTCTCTGCTTCCTTACTGCTTGAAAACCTTGTTGGTGGGAAAAAGATCTCTTTATGTGGAACAATAAATTGTCTCAGGTGATACTACAGTATCTGAAAGATAGCAGAGGAGTATTTTTGTCTTTGTAACTCATTTACTTTGTGTACAGCAGATGTTGATGAAATTATTATCAATGTGATTATAAGGAAGAAAATAAGTAAAGTAATAGCAATCTAAATTATAGATCTAAATCTGTCTTTTTAGATATCCAGCGTCTTGGCTTCGAAGAAACCGGCTGTGCTCCTTACTTTGGTGAGTCACATTATTCTAAAGAATATTCATTTTCCTCATTAAGGAGATCAGTTTGTTCAGCATGCCTTTGCACTGTCATTCTATATCTTCTCCTTTCCATCTTTGCCAAATTTGATGCCACATTTAGGCTTCTGGCCTCTCCATAATCTCAAGATTTGTGACCTATGTCCTTCAAGTCTATATTCTCTCTGCCAAAAGCTTTAGCTGTTTCCTGGTAAAACATTGCAAGTGTATTTAACATCAACTGTGCTATCCTCCAGCCTATGTACAATGACTCTAAACTCCTTTTTCCTCTTATGCTGCTCTGGTCATGTCGTGAGCATGTTTGGGCCTTTCTGTGAATATCCCACAACAATTCAGGAAATACTCTTTCTGCATAGAGTGGCTTGGTGTGAACGATGTCTGGGAGGAGGGAGTGATATCAAATATCTGCCAACTATTTTGAATGGTGCTTGCTTATGTCTCTGAAAGAAGGATGGATGGGTAGAGGTAAAGCCTGCAAGTTTCTTCTTCCCTGTCACCTCTCCCCTGGCTTGTTTCCTTGACATGTTTTATAAACCTCTATTAAGAGTATCTGATTTCTTGTCTCCAATCATATAAGAAAAGATTTGCTGGCTCTGAGCTTTCTCTTACAGCAAATGCAGTAGCTGCTCTTGGATTTTGTGTTTTCTCAAAATATACATGTATAAAAGATGACTCTATATCTTTCTCTCATGTTCTTTAAGAGAAATGCATGGGAATATTTGACCAACTTCTGCTTCTTGCTGTGTGTTTCTGCATGTAGAGTTGTTGGTGTAGTTGTCACTCTGTGAGCATCCTGTTGTAATCAGGAATTTTCAAGTGGTTTTTGACTGAGAGGATGGAGCTGTGATGCTTTCACATTCCTCCCACTGCCATGAAGAAGTATACAGGGAAGGAAAGAGCACTTTTCTTTCTGCTGCATGAATGGAAACTTGGTCCTCTCCTCCTGTGGTCTCATTCCAGATACAGAGCTGTAATGCTGCTCCGCAGGGTTTTCCAGGCACACGTCAGAAGTGTTTGTCTACTGTGTAGCAGCCAAAATACTCTTGCTTATGCTACTTGCTTGAATGGAAAGCTGTGGGGAGCAGCATGCAAATGTAAATATTAAGCATTGCCAGTGCCGTGCGTAATAATGTATTTTAAAATGAAATTACTTCAGAAGGAATCTTACCCATTTGTTATGCTCTTGCCCTTTATTTTTATATAGATCTCCTAGCTCCATCTCAAGACAAAAGGGAATTAGAAATCAAAGCTTGCCATTTTCCTGAGCAGCACATCCTAACCTGAGTTCTGTGTTCTCCTGTGAAACCGATGATTTCTTATATTGGTCTGTGTTTGAACAAACATTCTGGCTTTTTTTTTTTATTTATAGTGATTCAAGTAAACTAATATATAGGTTTCCCTAAGGACTTACTGCTCAGGTTCTCCCAATGATTTATAATTTAAACGCTTGTGATTGGCTCAGAATTACATTCCTTTTAATCCTTTCCCTTCCAGCGTGGTGTTAATACTGATAGTGGAAATGTGTCCAAAGAAGCTTCGTTTGAGGGAATCAGCCAGTAAGTGGCAAGGCTTTTTTAATACATTAATTGCTTCATGGTTATGTTGAATTTATTTTATTTTTCACATTAAATGATATGTTTTCCCTATGACAGGATGTTGAATGGCAGATCAAATGTATCAATATTTCTTTAGAAATAAAATGTTGGGCATGTTTCTAATGACTTGAAGTATAGTGGTGGGTTTTTTGAAATGTCTTTTCAATCTAAGATCATGCAATGTTACTTTGTATTTGCTTTAAGTATCTGAAACTGAATAGACCCATTTCCTTACCTGCATTTCTGCTTTTGGGATCGGAATATTTCTAGATCTCAGTAAAATTAATCTTTACGAGTAGCTTCTTTCTCTTACAGACTTCCTTATGCAGTATTAAGGTAGAAATTGGGGATTCTGGTATGCACAATCTTCTGAAAAGATGTCATATTACAGGTGTAAAAGCAAAGATCACTTTTCTGCCTAGGTGTGGTCTTTTACTGTCTCTTGCTATTGTCTTTTTATGAGGTTTGGTTACTAGTGGGGTGAAAATGTCTTCTTGCATGCAATATTTGGAAAAGGCAGTAAATAAAAATACATCACAACCTGCTCTGGAGTGTGAGGATGATGACCTCAATTTTGCGTTAAATACAATTGTCTAGTCTGTTATGATATCCTAAAATGAGATAATTTTCCATTTTAGCTCAAGTATATAGCAAAAATGAAAGGCAATTGCCCCCCCCCTTGCCCCCCCATTAAAAAAAACTGTTAAAATAAGCACTCATGATGAGATGATGAGTAGGTGACCATTTTTTATGCTCCTTGACTCCCAGTGACCCCGCTGTATTTTTCTCCATCAACCTCTGTTGACAGCATATTAATTGTGCACTGAGGATCACAACGGACAGAATTTGCTGTAGGTCTGGGCACTCATTTGTGTAGTCTGAGAGCATGTTTTCTGCTGGGATCAGCTTTTCTCTGTGTTATGTGAACTGAAATCTGAAGTCTGATGCAATAATTACTTTGTTCTCCCCCTGCAACCTAAATGGAAACTTAATGATTGTGTCAGGGATATTAGGGACCAAGGTGGCAGACATTTAGACATCTTTTGCTGCCCAGTGAGTTAAGTATAAATTGTTCCAGGAACAAGCAAGCTATCTTTAATGAATGTGTGTTGTCCTTTGTCCTGTTACAACAGCATGATGTTGGGTTGCTTTGACCAAGTAGATACTCAGTTATCTTAAACTCTGCAGGTACAGGGGGACTCCAGAATCCGTGTGAAACCATACTTCTAGTTTTATCTGAGACACCTCCACATGAAATATAAACAGTTACTAACTCCAGCAGTAATTCTTTGTGTGAATGATGTACAAAGGTCTGTTTAAAGTATGAAAAAAGCTCCTTTTCCCCCTGAATTTCACTTAACACTAGAGTTCAATTAGTTACACATTCTGTTACTAGTTAAGGATAAGTTAGGAAGCCATTGCACTTAGCACTTCATTTGAGAATTTAATAGCATGTCTCCTGAAACACTTAAAGGGATTAATGGTGTTTTATTGCTGCCTTTCCAGTTTGCAGTAAACATGCTGTCAGTGTGCTCCAGGACAAGTGCTTCTCCATTCTTTAGGGGGAATTTCCAGCTGTTCAGCAGATACTTCTCTTTTGAGGGCCAGGATATGCTCATCTCCCCACCTCTAGGCCAAATTTTGCTGCCTTTGACAAATCTAGTTGGCGTTTCCTCTCCCTTGCTCATGGGACAGAAGAGTACACATTGATTTTGTTGTTGGATGCGCTGAAGATTCACTCCCCTCCTCTGACAGATACTGTGCCCTCAAACCACTCTTCTCTCCAGCCTTCCCTTGACCCTCCTGACTCCTGCCTCTGCCCTCTGCACCTCAGCTTTTTGTAACTGCATCTGTAAATCAGTCCATTTTATATTTGTTTTCCACAATTTCAGCATTCCTG